AAGATTGGATGAAAGTCTTCTCTCCGGTGGCAGCAAAGGTTGAATGTGAAATGAGTCTGAACCCAGTTCTCAGCAGTGCAAGTCTGTCTATAACTCAACATTAATTGGCATTAAATTGACAGTCAAGAGAGGCCATAAATGCAGCTAGTGTGGAAATGGATGTGTCACTCTTGTGCAGTTGGTAGAGGAAGAGCCTCTGCTGAAACTGGAATGAGGGCACGTTGCCCAAACTTTTTCCACTGCAACAAGCATTTTTACCTAAGGCATTAATTTGTCTACATTGCCCACAAAAGACACAGTGACTCCACTTTACAATACATCCCATGAAGCGCTTAGAGACATTCACTCTCCATACTAAATATAAGGATTATTATTATTAAAAATGTGCAGTCACAACACTGAACAGTAATTACCATGAAGTACTTTGATATCAAATGCAGCAATTATTTAGTATTAGATTTAAAAGTAACATTTCCATTCTGCCCGCCCCCCACCACCACAGTCTTTTAATAATAATCCTTAATTCTACCATCTATAATCCTTGTTACTATGATACTATGAAGATGGTCCATAATAATATGACCTTATAATAATGATCCTTACATTTTACATAACGCCTTTCACATCAGGAGGACATCTCAAAGCGCTTCAGAAGATTTGCTGTAAAATGTAGTTACATGTGTATTTAGTAGGCAAATATGGAAGCCAATCTGAGCACAGTGATATCCCACAAACATCCAAGAAGTGAGGAACTAATTTTATTTGGAGGATTGTTGGCTGGAACTTCAGGGGAAACTCTCATCTCTTTTTGAATAGCGCCATGAGATTTTTAACATCCACCTATACAGGCAGACGGGAGCTCGGTTTAATGTCTAATCCAAAAGGAAAGCACCTCCAACAATGCATCTCATCTCCAGCACTGTATTGGAGGGTCAGCCAATACAGTGAGTTGAAAGAACCAACATGGGCTTGAACTTACAACCTCCAAATTCGGAGGCAAAATTGTTGCCAACTGAGCCAGACTGACGCATTTTAGAATGAAGCTGAAGTGAATTTATTTTCTAAAAAAAGCTTTATATGAGCAAGAGAATGGGGAGAGAAGTCAAGAAAAACATAAGGAAAACAAAAAGGGAGGTGAAAAGCGGGAACAAAAGATGTACCTCCGTTCTGTAGGGAGTGTGGAGCTGCAGGTTTGGTGACGGGAGAAACATTGTATAACATATCCAAACTGCCTCCTGTAGGTCCGAAGTCCCGATCTACATTCCATTTTTCACAGCTGAAAACTGGATGCTCTTACTTCCCAACCTGAGAGGAGCTTCCAGGGCTTTCTCTTTATTTACAAACATTGTTGATGGTGGTTTGACCTCCGTGGCTGGAGCAGACCATGGTTTCCACATTGTTTAATGGGAGGTGACAGAACAGCACTCCCAGCGGGACGCAGTCTGCCGCTCTTGGTATTCTCTTTGTAAATGTATGTCACTGAACAAAAGGCAGAGCCAAAGCATCTTCATTACCTGCACGCATGCCTCTCACTCCCCACAGACAGATAATGATATAATAATCCTTGCATTTGATAAAGTGCCTTATCACGTCTTCGAAACATCTGAAAGCGCTTCAGAGAATATACTGTAAAGTGAGTTGACTGTATGTTTTGTGAGCAAAATGTGGCGGTCAATTGCCCACAGCACTGTCCCACAAACAGTAGGGGATTAAATGGCCAAATGCTTTTTTTTTAATTTTGTTTATTTTGAAGGAACTATTACCCCTGGAAAAGCGATCTGCCAATCGACTAACAACCAGGTTCCTACTTACTGCTAGGTAAACAGAGGCGTGTGGAATAAGGAAAATTGCCTAATGTTTCACCCTGCCCGGGAATCGAACCCAGGTCCTCTAGCTTGCGAGGCGAGCGCTCAAACCTCTAAGCTGCAGACCTCCACTTTACATGCAGAACACTTTATCATGCATTCACAGGAAAATTGCCTTCACAATTGTGTCCAGAAAGAGTTACCATTTGTGAAATTATAATTGTGATTTCCTAAGCAGACTGTATACAACACTGACAAATGCACATTGCTGTGATGTGAGGCTGCTGCTCTGAGGCAACCTATTAATTAGCCGACAGATCATCACCGGAATATTAAAAGACTTGATTAGCCCAACTTTGTACAGCCAGAAAGCTGCTTTATTTAACTGTCCCTGCAATGTGGGACTTAAAGAATGGAATTATTAAAGTAATCACCATGACAACAAAATCCTATCTTTCAGGATGACAGCTGTGAGCAGCACAACATGTATCTTAGGCTGAATAGTGTAGAGATGTGACAATGGAAGAATGTTCTGAAATTTTGCCGGAATAACTTTGGGGAGGGCTTACGTCTCTGGAGTCGGGGAAGGGAATCGATTTCTGATTTGCAGAAATAGGTTGCCCCAGAACCTGTGACAGCCCCGAATGAGGAAGATCACATCTAAGCAAAGAGATAAATGTTGTAGTCAACAGTTTCTGTTAATTTGATGTGATTTTCATAAGTCAGCCATAACAGTGTAGGGGTATAGCAATGGTGTAACTGACATTAATTCATCGCCAGGATATGGGTTCAGATTGAAAAGGTTCCAGGAAGTTCAATTAAACACCTTCAGTCTCTTTAGTGCCGGATTCTTAAATGATGCTCAAAGGATGGCAATGGTGCCCCATAAACACAAGCAGAGCTCTTCACTTACACTTAGCTCAGGCCCGAGCAGCTTGGAGCAAGTAGTATTACTGAGGTCTGCCAACTCCAAATTGCTATGCAGGCATTGGGTTGGTGCGTGAAACACAACGTTGGCTGATCAGGAATACTTAATGATATTGCAGTTTGAAACAAAGATTCCTCACAGATCAGAACAATGTCAGATGTCGTGCATAATAAAAATGATGCTCCTCTGACAGAAAAACGCAGCAAAATATTGTTTGAAGTCTACTTTCACAGAATTGATTGACAGGTACCCTAAGTGGGACAACCAGTAATTGCTTCCCTTAAGCCTCCTTGTCTGCCTGGAAATTTCTGTAAGGCGACATGGAAATTAACCTGGCCTTTTTACTGCTGTCTTGAAGAAATTGGCTTCCAGTGACCACAGAAAAGATAACAGAATAATCAATGGAAACCAGGCCACGTGTTCTGGGCCCTCGAGGTATGAGGACTTCAGAAAGAATAAAACATGGGGAGATTAGTCTATTGTTGAAGAAATGAATGCAGTTAACATTCATTAGAATTGGAGAGAATAGATCTGAAGGAAATGGAACTGCCTTAAGGTATCTTATTTGCTTCAAGGAAGTTTTAATTTTTAAAATCCCCCTTCAAATTTTGGCCGTCTTCTCCCAAAGGTACAGCTTTGTGCTGCGGTGCAGTATATTGGGTGAGAGACACCACTTAGTTCCTCTCCCATTCTTCTTTTTGAGCCATTAAGCTTCTGGGGCAAGATTGGAGGATTTCCACACTAGCTTGATCCTTGTCTCATTCAACATCTACATGCGCAAATTTCAGAAAGGGTTACTGGATATCGGTCAGATGTGATTTCACATCCCCCAGAGCTGCTCTGTTCCTATTGATTATCACAAAGGAACCCTAACCCATTTTGAGATTAGATCCCACTGTCTCTCTTTCTCTTTGAGTTTCTCTAACCTTCTCTAGCTCTGTCTATTCTAATTCTTTTTCTATCTTAAAACTGCACTCCAGTTGTGCGCAAGTTATGCACAAGATTATTAAGAGCTTAATTCAGCTGCCCATAGTGAGCAAATCAGTTAACTTGGCTGCCCCAACAGAGGGGTTGGGATTCCATTGCAATAGACAATAGAAACAGGGTGAGGGATCTCTAGTCTCTGCTGAGGACCTGCCACAGCCTGTGGTACTGAAATCCATAGTGCCACTACTACTGCTGTCCTACTTTACCGGAAAGACCTCCAGACCTCTTTATTAAAAGAAAAGGCTTGGCTGGCTGCCATAATTTTCAGCCCACAGATACCTTTTTTTACCTTAACAATGTTCACTATTTTTGTGTGGGGATGGGGAGGGAAGAGTATGGCAAAGTATTACGACTTCATTATTCAATTCAAATGGCATAATTATCACCTGTGATATTCTCACATTGGCAAAGATTACAGGCCAAGCCAGTCAATTATTATTGAATAGGCTTGGCCTGAACCTCCCCCAACCCTTCCCCATCCCACCATGAGACTGGCCCTATAGTTTTGCTCAAAGCATCTTGCTACCCCCAGTGTTATCAATCCAATGTTTTATTCGAGTACCACTTCACAAATTTCCAGTAGTATCAAATAGGGATTACACTGGTTGATCTCTGGATTGTAAATGCTTCAATAATAATAATTCTTTCATTTAATATAGTGCCTTATCACTTCATCAAGACATCTGAAATCGTCATAGGATATACTGTGAAGTGTAGTGACTGTGTATTTTGTCGGCAAACGAGGCAGCCATTTTGCAATGTCCAGAAAGCAGCCATGGAGTGAATGGGGTTAAAAAGGGAGAGGAAAGATGGTAGAGGTTAGGACTGGATAAGACTCATTGAACTGGGTTGAACTCATCAAGAAACATGTTGATACTGTAATGGGAAGACAATAAGGTGGGTATTCTGGAACGATGAGATCAAATGGGTTGAAAGGCATTCTTCATGCCGAACTTCTGTTATGAGCCTGATCTTATGAAATTTTACAATTAGCGATGTGAATCAGTTTCCTCTTGAGACTGGGGAGCATGGATAGATACAAGGTGTCCACTCTACTCCAGTAAGTTCCTGAGTAAGACACTGCAACGAGAGGAAATAATATGCCATGATATCTGCAGTATCTGCAATGATAGCGTATTAAGTAGATCAGTGAGCTTTATTTCTCCTTGAAGGCATAAGTCTCCCTCAACAAGATTGCTTGTCTTCCAACCAACTTATTTTGACCAGAATAAGAGAATAATTTATTTTGTGAGAATTTAACTAGTGAATTGATCTTACAGATAAGAAGGCAAGGGGGAATCCAATTGCTCGTGGACCTGCTGGATCACCGAATGCAAGAGGTACATCGCAGTGCCTGTGGAGCCTTGAGGAACCTGGTGTACGGGAAGGCGAACGATGACAATAAAATTGCCTTGAAAAACTGCGGTGGGATTCCAGCGCTGGTGCGTCTCCTTCGAAAGACCCCCGATGTGGAGATCAGGGAGCTGGTCACAGGTTAGTCTTGGCTCTTCTGTACTCTACACCTGAGAAGCTGGCAGAAATGCTGCTCTTAACAGGGGCCATTAGTGGGACTTCATTTTCATTGAAAGAAAAATATTCTGACATTTAGAATGAACTGGTATCAAGTACAATACAATTTACACTTTATATAGCTCCTTTCACATCGGGAGGACCTCTCAAAGCACTGGACAGTGCCGAATGGGCATCTAGAGTTTGGGAATACAGGAACAACAGCAACAAATTACATTTGGAGTCCTGTAGTTCAGTGGTTAGAGGACTCGCCTTGCAAGCAGACACCTGGGTTCAATTCCAGGCAGTGTGAAACTTTGGGCAAGTTTCCTTACTCCACACGTCTAATAATAATCCCTCCAAAACAAAACAATAATAAATTGGTCATTTTCAATCAATGGCTTTGTGGGACACTGATGTGTGCAATTGGCTGCCACGTTTTGCCCACAAATATACAGTCAATTCACTTTACAGCATATTCTGTTAAGCGCTTTGAGACGTCTAGAAGATGTGAAAAGCGCTGTATCAAATGCAAGGTATATTATTATTTGTAAAGCGCCTTTCATGTCCTAGATACATGAGGCTGAGGCCTTTTACCCACTACACCATCGTTACAGTGCCTTGTTACAGTAGTTCTAACTGATATTACTGCCACATTGCGAAGCTTACACATTGTTATCAGCCCATTGTTATCATCATCAGCTCAGGAACAAAATCTCCTGGGCTTGCTCACTCCTCATTTCCTATGTATCATTATCCAGTCGTATCTTCTGTATGCAGGCGCAATGGGAGACCAACTCTGCAATAGATCCAGAGTCAACAAAATTGGTTACAATACACTCCCTAGTTGCCTTAAGAGATGGCCATTACACCAAAGACAAAGTGGTAGTGTAAAAGTGGCACAGAACTAGAGGGAGGGAAATCGATAGTCTACCAGAGTCATTCCCTTCACCAGGAATGAAGCAAACTTGTTGGCAGTAAGATTCACTAGCAATATGCTGAAAAGTCAGGCAGTATAATTCTGCCTTCCACCATCAGTGTAGGTTTCACAATGAAATCCTCAGTGAATAACACCCAGCTAGATCCTAGCAGGTGGTGCCTTTGTGTATTTGTCGGGGTCTACCGCAAAGTGCCACAGTTATAATATAATTAGACGGCTGCCAAATCTACTTGAAAGGTGCTGCTTGCAACTGTGATAAGCATTCATTGACAAGGAATCCTGCAGAGTAGCAGCCCTAATAATATGCCATTGCTCGTCACAACATGTTTGCTCATCTCTTTGTTTACTGTCAAAACATGTAGCTTTAGGGGCAGTTTGTGTGCTTATGATAAACATGATCACTTCAAACAGCTAGAAGATGTGTAGCTGTTCAGATAAATGCAGCAAGTTTCCCACAGACCATCAGAACATAAGATTTGCTGAACAAAAGAAGTCCCAAGATCCATCCAGTTTAGCTTCCAACATCCTGCCAGTCACATGCACATGGCAAGTCCCACATTACATATTGTATCCCAAAATCTTATTTCCTAAAAGAAATCTATCTAACTTGCTTTTAAGTGGATTTGGCAGCTGTCCAATTATACTTACCCATAAATTATTATAACAATAATAATCCATGCATTTGATATAGCGCTTTTCACGTCTTCTAGATGTCTCAAAGCGCTTCACAGAATATGCTGTAAAGTGAATTGACTGTATATTTGTGGGTGAAACATGCAGCCAATTGCGCACAGCAGTCATTGATTGAAAATGACCAATTTATTATTGTTTTGTTTTTTGGAGGGATTATTATTAGGCTCTGTGTGGAGTAAGGAAACTTGCCCAAGGTTTCGCCCTTTGCCTGGAATTGAACTCAGGTCTCTCGCTTGCAAAGCGAATGCTCTAACCACTGAGCTACAGGACTCCGATATCAGATATAGTGGAGAGAAATTCCAAGTGGGTCTCGATTTATCCCATTTATGTAGCATTTTAGAGAACTCAGAATTTGGTGAATTATTGAATTCAGTCTTAATTTTGATTTTTTTTAAACTTACAGACACTTGATTGAAAATTAAGGCTGAATTTACCAAATAGTGGGCACTCTGAAATGCTGCATAAATGGAGTAAATCCAGATCCAGGTGGCATTTTCCCTTACACATGGGCTGCTGGCAACTGAGGAACAATACTGCAGTGTGTCACTGCCTTCAGGAGAAAATTGGACCAAGAAAGGGATTGCAATGTTCTTGTTCTTTATTCTGTTTTATTGCTTAAAGGCTGTCCATTTGCCTCATCTTCTCATTAAGTTGTGAGGTGAGCCCATGGAACTGGGTAATGCCGGAAAGGTTTAAGCCTTCAGTCATACCTCTGAACTGACACAATGTTTCTCCCAGTCAACAACCACAATTTATATTTATAAAACGGCTTTCATATCATGAAGATGTCTTAAAGCGCTTCAAAGAGCTGACTGGGAGCCCAAGCTGGAGGTGGAGCCGAGAAATGGTGATGGAGATAGGTGGCCAAAAGTGCAGTCAAAAAAAAAGGTCCAAGGCAGGTTTTAAACGTGGGGAGGAAGGAAACAAGAAAGTGGAGGGACTCCTGGAAGGAGCTCCAGAGAGCAGAACAAAATGGCAGCAAGCTTACCCATTGATGCTGGGGCAGATAGATCTCGTGAAATTCAGGCACCTTCTTGCTTGTATACTCATCCCTAATTCCTTTTTTTCCATTCAGTAGCTGGACCCCTTTATTTCCTCTGTTTTACTCCAATTTGCATGGAGCACTGAACTCAATATACAGGCGGTAGTGTATATATATGTGCCTGACTATATATCTTCAAATAAGGCTGGAGATGGTTCATGCTTTGGTGTGTGGTCTTCGAGCATATATTTGTTTTGTGAAGAAAGAGATGTATACACAGTTTTAGCTGGTTAGAGTCTAAGGCAAAATAAAACAATCAAATATTAAATCTTGAGACGAGTCCAGTAACATTCAATGTTGAGACCATTTCAGTCACGCTCAGTATTGAGACAATGCAGCATATGGTGGCAGATACAGTAATGAAGGTTCATCACAGCAGCAAGAAAGCAAAAGTGAGCCCTAGAAAATCATACACATTTCTTATCTACAAAGGTTTAAGTAACAAATGCAATTCAACCACTATCTCAATCATTGGAAACGTGGAGGAGGTGGACTTTCTAATCTAGCACAATGTCATGATGATGAATCCAAGTCAATTAATTGGCATTTATACCTGGGTTAGTTGTTATATTCATTAGTGCTTATCTATGTTTATAGAATATCTTCTCCCAGATTGCCCTACAATGTGGATCTGAAAGGTGTCAACAGATTGAGTGATGCAGTGGCTTAAGTGAAGATTAGAAAGTTGGGATGAATATTTCATTAGATAATTATTTAGGGAGGACAACTTTGAAGGGCTATGGGGAGAGTGCAAGGGACTGGGGTTGAATTGGATAGCTCTTTTCAAAGAGCCGGCACAGACACGATGGGCCGAATGGCCTCCTTCTGTGCTGTATAATTCTATGATTCTATTATTCTGTGAATGTCTGCTCCCTCTGCTTGCTGTGAAGGTCCTATACGAAGTGAGTTTGTATTGTTCAAACTCATTTTTAGTGGGTGTGAAACCATGGGATAAAGTGGGCCAACATTTCCAAACTACAACAACAAAAAGATTACATTTGTATAGCGCCTTCACATCGGGAGGACGTCCCAAGGCACTGGACAGTGTACAGCATTTCAGACCCAAGCTGGGGTTAGGGAGGGGAGGGGAAGGGGGGTGACCGATGGCATGGTCAAAGAGGAGGGTCTTGAGGCGAGACTTGAAAGAGACTATGGAGGTTTTTTTTTAAATAAATGACAGATGAGATGTCAAACCGAGGTCCCATCTGTCTGTTCAGGTGGATTTTAAAGATTCCAGTTTGAAAATAGAAGGGAGTTTCTTCTTGTCCTGGCCAACAATCCTTCAAATATCATTTGCAAGACTAATAGAACATTGGAGTTTAATTTGCACAAGACGTATCACTGACAATACTTTGCAATAAGCATAATGTTCTTGCACAAGGCACAGAGTCTGCAGTAAGTGACATCAACTGCACTTCCTGCGATTAGTGTGCTTGCTCACAATGCACAGGAACTTTTGGCAGCATTGACCTGGAAATCCTGAAGGTAGCCATCTTTTCGGGTTCTGAGCTGATGATCCCAGGTTACTGTACTATAATGGGTTGTACAGGTTGTAAGTTTCAGTCTGCCTCAGTTGGTAGCCCCTGAATCAGAAAATTGTGGGTTCAAGTCTTAATTTGGGACTTTGAAGTTAAGAATTGTTTTGCCTTATCACATATCTCATGTTTTCCCTCATGGTTCCGACAGTGCTGGCTGCTCTCTGGTACCTCACTCCTATAGCCATTCTTTTTGTGTGGCTAGATAGTAGGTGCCAATAGAGTATTGACTGGGGGAGCAGGGGGAACTGTGTTCGCCCAATAACCACAAGTATCCTTTTTCCACCAGGGGTTGCTAAATAATGCTTGGGAGTGGATGATGTCTGCCCTTACCACCATCCACCAGTTGAGGCTAATTGTAATGCCCTGCCCCTTTGCCAGCTAAGATCGTGTACTAGGCACAGACAAGGGATTAAATCAGTGACCTGCTGGGTCTTTGTGGTTCAGCTTCACTCAGAACAGTAGCTTGAAAGGAATTGCTTTTTAAATGAAGAGCTCATTGGAAAGATGCCCAAACACTGTCATATCACACTTTGCTTGTTTGAATTGTAACATGGCAAATAACCCAACACAATAATTCTGGCTCTTCCATCATGTTTGTAAATTTTGAAACAATTGTGTTGTCAGAAAGTAGCTTTGTGTCGTCACAGGTAGGTGACCTTTCGTTTCAAGTCCAATTACTCCAATGGTTGAGTTCCCCTTTGAAACTTGCAGCTTAACTGGTTTAATGGGTAATTGAAGTCAGACTTCAGCGCTTTATTAGAAGTGGCAGCCG